TGCTGATGGAAAATTAAACCCTTGAATGATTGCCTTTTATCCCACTAGAGTACATGTCAGAAAGACTCTCAGTAGATGAAACTTTATCGCAGGTTTAGGTCTACTTTATCAGCAGAAATCATCTTATGATTTTCCAACCCAGTGGATTAATTTAATGGTAGAACTAGTCTGTTGTGATAGTTTAGTGTTCCAACATGGTTTATGTATCCTGTGATACTGTAGGAACCCTTATTATACAATTTGTGCTCACATTTCTTTTCAGTTTCTTTACCAAGATAAAAGAAACAAAGTTTGCTTTAGCTCTGGGGAAAGTGATAGCTAATTCTGTGAGCTATAGTGAAGAAAAAAAAAAGCCAGCAATTGCATTTAAAAATCGGTATCGACATATAGTAACAGCCAGTGAGGGAGCCTCTCTGCATACACTGCTCCCTCACTGTATACACTGCCCCTCTCCTGCCTCCTCCACTGCTCCTCTCCCCACCCCCTCCCCCCTACAAAAAGGACCTGTCACTCATATGCTATCAGGTAGGGGACTATTGGTCCCCTATGTGATAGCAATAAAAACATAAGTTAGAAAAAAAATATACATGAAAGTAGAAAAAAAAATTGGAGCCTCCCCAACCCCACATATGCAGACATTTTGGTTTCGGTTCAGTTTTCGGCCACATGCAGTCTGAATTTTCGGTATTGGTTTTGACACCAGAATTTTCATTTCGGCGCATTTCATTTACTCTTTCCTCTCACAGACGAAACAGACTGCTTACTACAGTCATCAGGACTACAATAGGCAGTCAGAATTTAAAAACATGAAAGAAAATTCCAGGCCCCCTGGGCAGTACAGTGCCACATTGGCTGCTGCACTGATGAGACTTTATGTTAGTGTATCCAGCCATTGTCTTTGACTACCGTCACAGCAGTACAATGTCACCATTATGGCATTGCACTGCTCTGGTGACAGTATGTAAAAAAAAATTTATATATTGTGACCACAGCAGTGCAGAGTCACAATGGTGACATTGTACTGTGGTGGTCATGTATAGTGACTGACTGCTCTGATATCACTGATTCAGTGCAGCCAGTCACAGTATCCCCAATCACCACCACACCAGTCTGAGTGTCACCATAAAGCTTTGTTCACATGCGCAGGGCTGTCTGACGATCGATCCATGTTCAGATTGTTCTTTAGAGAACATCTGACAGGCAGTGAACAGGTGTTGTACCACTTCCTTACCACCTGCTTTAACCCCTTGGACCCAACACAAGTGCCCTCATTCACTTGAATGGGTCACAGTTGGCGGGTGCTATGTTCATGGAAAGTGGCAGTGAGTATAATTTCTGCCATGGCTGTAAAACAAAGAATCGCAGCATGCGGTGTACAACCCTTGCCAATGCTTCTGCAGCTAAAAGGGGTAATTAAAAAGCCATGCCTCAACAATGATGTTTCACCCCCCTAGTCTCACTTATGAACAAGACCTAATAGTGTAGATAGTCACAGTGTCTCCAAACACCACCACACTAGTCACAGTTGCACCACATGAAACATTGTTCCTGATCACTGCCAAACCAGACCAATGCAGCCAGCAACAGTTTTCCTGATTACTGCTGCACCAGTCCCAGGGTCACCATTGTAAACCATCAGTAGTGTTCAAAAGACCAGTGTTTGCCAGCAACAGTATTCCTGACCACTGCCACATAAGTCCCAATGTCTCCAGACCAATGATAAACCAGCAACAGTGTTCCTGATGACTGCCACAACAGTGCCAATGTCACCAGACCAGTATAAACTAGCAAAAATGTCCCCGATCACCGCCATAACAGTCCCAGCAGTGTAAACCAAAAACAGTGTTCCTGACTGAAGCCACATTAGTCCCCAGTGTTGTCAGACCAGTGTAAGCCAGCAGCAGTGTTCCTGATCACCACCACACCAGTCCCAGTGTCACCAGACCAGTATTTGCTAGCAACAGTGTTCCTTATTGCTGCTTTACAAGTCCCAGTTTCACCAGACCAGTGTAATTTAGCAATAGTGTTCCTGATCACTGTCACAGCATTCCTGTTGTCACCAGACCAGTGTAAGCCAGCTACAGTGTTCCTGATCGTCACCACATGAGTTCCAGTGTCACCAGACCAGTGTAAGCCAGCTACAGTGTTCCTGATCGTCTCCACATGAGTTCCAGTGTCACCAGACCAGTGTAAGCCAGCTACAGTGTTCCTGATCGTCACCACATGAGTTCCAGTGTCACCAGACCAGTGTAAGCCATCTACAGGGTTCCTGATCATCACCACATGAGTTCCAGTGTCACCAGACCAGTGTAAGCCATCTACAGGGTTCCTGATCGTCACCACATGAGTTCCAGTGTCACCAGACCAGTGTAAGCCATCTACAGGGTTCCTGATCGTCACCACATGAGTTCCAGTGTCACCAGACCAGTGTAAGCCAGCTACAGTGTTCCTGATCATCACCACATGAGTTCCAGTGTCACCAGACCAGTGTAAGCCATCTACAGGGTTCCTGATCGTCACCACATGAGTTCCAGTGTCACCAGACCAGTGTAAGCCAGCTACGGTGTTCCTGATCGTCACCACATGAGTTCCAGTGTCACCAGACCAGTGTAAGCCAGCTACAGTGTTTCTGATCGTCACCACATGAGTTCCAGTGTCACCAGACCAGTGTAAGCCAGCTACAGTGTTCCTGATCGTCACCACATGAGTTCCAGTGTCACCAGACCAGTGTAAGCCATCTACAGGGTTCCTGATCGTCACCACATGAGTTCCAGTGTCACCAGACCAGTGTAAGCCAGCTACAGGGTTCCTGATCGTCACCACATGAGTTCCAGTGTCACCAGACCAGTGTAAGCCAGCTACAGTGATCCTGATCGTCACCACATGAGTTCCAGTGTCACCAGACCAGTGCAGCCTGCAACAGTGTTCCTGATTGCCACCAAACCAGTCTCAGTGCTTCTAGACCAATGTAAGCAATAAACAGTGTACCTAATCGATGCCACACCAGTTCTTTCAGGAGCTTCATACACTTAACCATTTCATGTCCAGTTAGCAACTGAACTCTGACGAAAGAGGGCACTCCACAGAACTCTGACCAAAGTGAGCACTCTGCCGAAAGGGGGCACTCTGCTGAACTCTGATAAAAAGGGGCACTCTGCTGAACTCTGACATAGGTGGGCACTTGGCCACATTCTGACGTAAGGGGGCACTCGACCACATTTTGACATAAGGGTGCACTCGGCCACATTCTGATGTAAGGGGGCACTCCGCCACATTCTGACATAAGAGGGCACTCCGCCACATTCTGCTTAAGGAGGCACTCCACCACATTCTGACATAAGGGGGCACTCAACCACATTCTGTTGTAAGGGGGCTCACCGCCACATTCTGACATAAGGGACACTCCGCCACATTCTGACATAAGGATGTATTCTGCCAGAGTCTGATGTAAGGGGGGACTCCGCTGGATGCTGATGTAAGGGGCAATCTGATGTATAGGGGTAATTCTGGGAACTTTGATGCAAGTGAGGACCCTGATGTAAGCTTGCTTTTTAAAAGCCCCAGACATTCCTAAAAGCACCGCTGCCTAATAGAAAACATCAACCCTTTATATTTTCCATCTTGGCAAAGCTATTTCAAGGTATAAAGGGACATACATCCATTGAAAATCCATGGTGATAAAACTGTCTCATTCAGTAGTACAAAGATCTTATTTAAATACGGTTTTAGTTAATCTTTTTTTTGTTAATCAGGATAAGTAGATTGTCTTGAAGGACAAGTAGATTGGGACTCCAATTTAGTCATAGGACAAGTAGTTTTTTAAAAACATTTCCACACCCCTGCGCTATAGGTGATGCTACACTAAGATAAATTGCCTGACCACTTGTACCCAAGCGGTCATTACAGTACACTGTGTTTGATACATTTGATTGATTTGTGTGAAACACAAGATACAATGTCTGTACAAAATTAGTTCAGACATTGAAAAAATCTCACACCTGTGGTATCCCCATACTCAGGAGGAGAAACAAAGTGTTTTGGGGTGTAATTCTAGTATGCTTAAGTGACAACTTTTTTAAAAAGAAATAGATTTTCATTCCACATTTTCCAAAAACTTGTGGCAAAAAAATAAGTTTCAAAAGACTCACAATGCCTCTTAGAAATTGCCTTGGGGTGTGAGCTTTCCAAAATATGGTAATTGTTAGGGTGTTTCCACTGTCCTGGTGCTCTAGGGCCCCCAAAAATGTGATAGGTAGTCAGGAAATTAGATGCATAATTTATGCCCCTAGAAAGCCTGCAGGTGCTCCTTGAATTTTGGACCTCTCTATGTGGCTAGGTTGTGAAAAGTCTCACACATGTGGTAATGCCATACTCCAAATTGCTGTCTGTTAGAAATAGCTCATTATTTGACAATTTCGTGTAATAAAAATATATTTTCATTTCCTTTACACATTTTTCATATACTTATGATAAAAAAATGAAGTCTTCAAAAGACTCACAATGCCTCTTAAAAGATACTTTGGAGTTTTTTCTTTCCACGGTGTGGTCATTTTGAGCTTCTATATGTGTCTAGGTTGTGAGGGAGAGCTGGGATAAACCACCAGGGAACGGATTTTACAGTCCAGCAGCTGTGAGCAGACAACCTCAATGCAGTGGCCCTCCACCTATCCCCTCTTCAACTAGAAGGACACCACAATGGACAAATCAGTAGACCCCAGAGAGGAAATGGAGGAGGTATGAAGACCAGGATAATATCAGTGACCCCACTCCTGATACATGCAGATCGAGGCGTCCAGTAAGGGTTTGTTTAACAGTACTGTATAGCACATGAAAATGTAAGTCTTTTTATGTTGGTTTTTTAACCGCTTCCCGTCCACCATATAGTACAATGACGGGCGCAAGGTGGTTCCCTCATTCTGGAAGGACGTCATATGACATCCTCCCATTCTAATTGCGCATGCACTGCTCCGGGAGCACGCAGCACGGCGATCGGTGGTGTGCTGTGTCCCTTGGACACAGCGGATCACAGTTCAGCGGAAAGAGCCGAAGAAGTCGGATCTGTCATGTGATCAGCTGTGTCCAATCACAGCTGATCACATGTAAACAGGGAAAAGCCGGTTATCAGCATTTCTCTCCTCACGAGCTGTCATGCTGACAGCTCATAAGGAGAGGAGAGCCGGTAATCGGCATTCCTCGGAGGGGACATGTACACAGATCATCAGAGCACTGATGATCAGTGTGCCCTGATGATCTGTGTAGCCCCAACAGTGCCACCTGTCAGTGTCCATCAGTGCCAGCTCTCAGTGCTCATCCATGTCACCTGCTAGTGCCCATCAGTGCCACATCAGTGCCACATTTTTTCAGTGCCTACCAGTGCACATCAATGCCACATATCAATGCCCATCTGAGCTGCCTTTCAGTGTCACCCATCAGTGCCAGTCAGTGCCACCTATCAATGCCAGTCAGTGCCACCTATCAGTGCTGCCAATCAGTGCCACCTATCAGTGCCAGTCAGTGCCACCTATCAGTGCCAGTCAGTGCCGCCTATCAGTGTGCATCAGTGCCTCCTAACAGTGCTCCTCAATGCTGCCTATCAGTGCCGCCTAACAGTGCCAGTCAGTGCCACCTAACAGTGCCAGTCAGTGTCGCCTATCAGTGCCAGTCAGTGCTGCCTATCAGTGCCATATATGAGTACTGCTTTTCAGTGCCCATCAGTGATGCCTGTCAATGCCCATCAGTGCCACCTACCAGTGCCTCCTCATCAGTGCCCATCAGTGGCACCTACCAGTGTCCATCAGTGCAGCCTATCAGTGCCCATCACTGCAGCCTCATTAGCGCACATCAGTGAAGGAGAAAAATCACTTATTTATAAAATTTTATAACAAAAAACTAAGAAAAAAAGTTTTTTTTTTTTCAAAATTTTCAGTGGTTTTTGGTTTGTTTAAGACAAAATAAAAAACTCAGAGGTGATTAAATACCACCAAAATAAAGCTCTATCTGTCACAATAAATGATAAAAATTTCATATGGGTACAGTGTTGCATGACCACGCAATTGTCATTGAAAGTGTGACAGCGCTGAAAGCTGGAAATTGGCCTGGGCAGGAAGGGGGTATAGGTGCCCTGTAGGCTTGTGGTTAATTACGTTTTTAAAAGGTTTTATGCTATGTGAACCTTGTCTCTCTTATTTTTCTTGAGTTGCTACTGAAAGGAGAGCCTGCACATTGGGAGGAGGAAAAAGGAGTAAAGAGAGAGGGGTTCCAACTAAAATGTGAATTTTTACCAATTTAGGGATAAGTGGTTAATTCCATCTGGTGATTATCTGGTTATGTTAAGGGGGCACAAATCGGCACATACTGTGGATAGGGGCACTCTGATTGGCACATGTGATGGAAAGAGGCACTCTGATGGGGAATATGATGTAAAGGGGCACTCTGATGGAGAAATATGATGGAAAGGGGTACTTTGAGAGTAAGGGGGCACTCTGATGGGAATACCTGATGTAAGGTGGCACTGTGATGGGGATACCCGATGTAAAGGGGGACTCTGATGGGGACAACTGATGTAAATGAGCACTCTGATGGGCATACCTGATGTGATGGCATTACATGATGTAATGTTGAACTCTGATGACGACACCTAATGTAAAGGGGCACACTGATGGTCACTCCCTATTCGAACCTTGGCCTGAAGAAAATTGTAGTGACCGGAGCTCCTTGAATTTTAATTCAATACCCCTGCTATAGTTGATGAGTTTCTAAAAGCTGCAGGATCGCTAGCATTACATCGTCTTTACTGTGTTTAATAGTTAAAATGGGCTTAAGAAGGCTACCTCACCCACTAAATGCTTTGCGTCTCCATGGAGAAAGCTATACAAATGCAAATTCAATAAAAGTTTAATTCAGTTTCTTTTGCAGGCTAGCAAGGTGGATTGCCATATGCTTTATAAATCCATTGATCCCTATTAAGCACATACCCAAAATGAACACTTATCATGTTATATTATTTTCTGTGCTGGGTTCCTACATATCAGGGGTGGACTGACCATTTGGAAACTCGGGCACTGCCTGAGGGCCCGGGGTCAGTAGGGGGCCCCATGAGATGCCCCTGGTACCTTTTTCATAGGCTTTTTTGAGTTTGGGCAAGGACACAGGGGCCCCATGATCTCCTATTGCCCGGGGGCCCCATGAGTTGTCAGTCTGCCCCTGCTACATATACAAGGTTTTTAACTGACTTGAGTGAGTCTGGTCCTTGCCTTCATGGAGGGATTGAGGATTTACAATTTTTGGTTGCAGGTGATCTGCACATAGATATTCTTCTTATGTTGTCGAATGATCCTTACACATCCCTATGCCGAGTGGTTTAGGTCCTCAATCAATATGCAGATATTTAAGGACTAAAAGTGAACTGGGACAACTTGCTATAGTTTCTAATAGACACAGAAAGTTTCTGTATCTTTGATACTCTATCTCCAGTGGGGGAAAAAAAAATCTGCCATTGTCATTGATTGGAAAAATCAATCCATTTAATACTGAAAATTATTCTTGGCATACCCATGCTTCTGCAATTGCCCAGTCTGAATGCCAAAGTCCTTTTAAAAATGTCCTCAACTGCTAGCAACTTACTTGTTAGCTTTCTGTGGGGTTCCCCAATCCCTATTTTAGGGTATTCATGCTTAATTGATGGTTCATTCTCTCTCAGAGGCTGTCTATGCCTGTTCTGTACAATTAATTTACATTTGCCTAATGTTTATTAGATATGTCTCTATCTGTATTACTATAGTTACAACCCTTGCAATTACAGCTTCTTCCTAAGTTTTTCAATTTGGATAATTGGAAAATTATGCTCATACAAACTCGGAATGGTCTTTAGTTGGTCTTTTATTGCTCTGTGCCTAAAAATCAATAGCTCTTATATGAATGTCTGAGCACTATGGCATGAAAGGTCGTCTCTGTATTGATGAATTTCATCTAGTCTCACCTATATATGGCAATCTGTTAATGGAAATTGTTACCCATGAGTATCTTCTCGGCTATCACTCATTCGGGGCAGCTGTTGAGTGATACATTTATGAAGAGTGTATGTATATATATATATATATATATATATATACAGATATATGTATCTGTTTTACCCCAAAGCCAACACAGACTTCTGTGCCTGCAGGAAAAGACTGTAGCGACCGCCACTAAGTCCTTACCATCCCGTAAAATTAGGGGAATGGTATATATATAATTTATTTATTTATACCATTTATTTTTAAGCTAACAGGCCTGAATGCTGGGTTTCCCAATTAGCTTATTGATTTTTGTAGTTTCTCTGATTCATAGGGTGATATGCTGTATGGGCACATATCGCTTCTCCTAATTATCAAACTATTTAACACAGTGATTGAGTGATTGAGTGCCATAGATAACAATTGTTATACCTAATTTATTATTTTGTATTGTATCTCATAAATGACATTAAATTCACATTTTGAAACTGCAATCAATATATTGGGGGAGATTTACTAAAACTGGTGCATCCAGAATCTGATGCAGCTGTGCATGATAGCCAATCAGCATTTAACTTCAGCATGGTCAGTTAAGCTTTGGCAATAACACCTGGAAGCTGATTGGTTTCTCTGCAGAGTTGCACCAGATTTTGCAGTCTGAAGTTTTAGTAAATAACATCCAATGTGTAAATACTGAGAACTGTCCACTAGATGTCAGCCTTGCCATATAATTTAGTTAATGCTTGACATTTTTTTGAACAAAAGTACAATATATTGTGTTTATTTATGTATGCTTATGTGGTCTTATTTTATTTATTTATTTCAGGTACTTATATAGCGCCGTCAATTTATGCAGCGCTTTACATATACAGTATATTGTATATTCACATCAGTCCCTAACCCTCAAGGGGTGTACAATCTAAGGTTAATAGTTTAGTTAGCATGTGATTAGTCTGGACATCACCTTCATTTAGCCAGGCCATTGGTAATCACCTGCCTGGGATGTGGTTGGACAGTACACAGTTGATTACATGGCAGAGCTTACTGACTTGTCTCCTGGGAGTTCTTCATAGTTTCTTTAGAATTTTTTATCTTTGGTATTCTCCCTGCCTCTGCTCCTTGGATCTTATTGCTGGGTCCTCCGCCTTGCCAATTTCCCATTTGTTGTCCACAAACATGCTCCAGTATTCCCTATGTTCTCAAGCATGCTATGTAGCTAGAGAGGAAAGGCTATCTTTCTTTAAACTGTTTTACCCCAAAGCCAACACAGACTTCTGTGCCTGCCGTAAAGGACTGTAGCGACCGCAACTAAGTCCTTACCATCCCGTAAAATTAGGGGAATTTTCTCTCTCTGTCTACAGGATGGGTTTCAGAGTAGAAAACAAGTAACCTCTTCCTACACCTTTTTAGGGATAACATTTTCCATTCTTAATTTGCTTGTTTACAGTTTGATCACCTGTGGGTGCAACAATTTCTTTTTATTGTTCTGACCTTGCTAGACCTCCAATGCCCTTACCTTACCATAATTTCTGATTCATTATTGCTGTTTTATAAATTAAAACCCTTTTGAGCTGCTATGATGCAAGTACTCTGTTCTTTGAATCGCTCACACCATGCGCACTCTCATATAATTGTGTTTTTGTAATATTAATAATAACCATAAAGTGCCATGCTCAGGGGCGGACTGACAACTCATGGGGCCCCCGGGCAATAGGGGCTCATGGGGCCCTGTGTCCTTGCCCAAACTCAAAAAAGCCTATCAAAAAGGTACCAGGGGCATCTCATGGGGCCCCCTACTGACCCCGGGCCCTCGGGCTGTGCCCGAGTTTCCAAATGGTCAGTCTGCCCTTGCCATGCTTCACAATATTAGAACATCATCATTTTCCATACATAAAGTGCTCAGTCCAATAACAATCATGTGTGTGCACAATCCACAGTGCACTGAAATCACAGTTCACAGTGTTATGCCTATATGAATATCTGCTTCAATTCCATGATCTCATTTCACCACTTGGTGCTAATAGAATTATGTAGTGATATAAATGCCCTCCACCAGATGTGCTCTCGCCTGGGATATATGACTATACAGTTAAGTAAGGTCATACAGCACTTGTGTCCCTCATATAGGACTTATTGCAACATTCCCATGTAGACATGTTTGGGTGAATCCTGTCTACATGGGAATGTTGCAGTAAGTCCTATATGAGGGATGCAAGCGTTGTGTGACCTTACTTACTGGTACAGTCATATATCCCAGGTGAGAGCACATCTGGTGGAGGGCATTTATATCACTACCAGGGGCGGACTGACAACTCATGGGGCCCCCGGGCAATAGGGGATCATGGGGCCCCTGTGTCCTTGCCCAAACTCAAAAAAGCCTATGAAAAAGGTACCAGGGGCATCTCATGGGGCCCCCTACTGACTCCGGCCCTCGGGCAGTGCCCGAGTTTCCAAATGGTCAGTCCGTCCCTGATCACTACATAATTCTATTAGCACGAAGTGGTGAAATGAGATCATGGAATTGAAGAAGATATTCATATAAGCATAACACCGTGAACTGTGATTTCAGTGCACTGTGGATGGTGCACACACATGATTATTATTAGACTGAGCACTTTATGTATGGAAAATGATGATGTTCTAATATTGTGAAGTGTGGCACTTTATGGTCATTATTAATATTTGCTGCTAGTTTTCAACATTTGGCTCTGGTTCATCTTGGTAGCAACATTTGACTATACTTCCAACTTCATTCCTGTCTGGCCCTGTGTGCTCCTGACTCTGCTAGTTTATCAACTACTCTCTAGATTATCTAGGTTACTGGTGCTCTAACTACCCACAGCTTGTCTCTGCTGCCTAAATTCTAAGGGACACCACCTGAATACCAATCCATGCACATAAAGCATCCGGGAAGGTAAAGACTGGTGCAGAAATGGTTGCAAAGCCACAGATAACCCCTGTACCTTACAAGTTAGGATTATGGATGAGCTGGAGAAAACGGTTTGCCCTGGTGTATGTCAGATAGCAGGTGGCACAGTGTCCTAGGAAGACTGTGCTCTGGAGCCATGAAGCCTGGAGGTCTCAGTATGAGTAAACCACCACAGCTTGGTGTGTGAACCGGGTTGCCTTGTCTTGACGGCTGTTTGAATGATTACCCGCCATGCCTGCATTGAGTTCCACTCATGTTATTCTGATTGGCCCCTTACTCACTCATATAGGGTTTACTGGACCTAAAAAGCAGCAGTGCTTCTGTGTACATATGTGCTTGGCTGTAATGCACCATGCAGTGCAAAGCATCTAAATAGAAAAAGAGCTTAAATGCAACTGTAACCAAAAACTTTTTTGAGTTTTCACCAAGAGTGAAAGTCAAGGTAAATCTCAAATTTTGAGTTGTCACCAGAACAGGGATAGAGTGAAAATCTTTCATTGGGGACACTAGTTCTGGTGACCCTGGTGACAATTAGGGATTTTCCTCACTCTGGAGGCAAAAATACTGGCAGTGGTCATAACCCCTCCTAACTTTATTCAAATGTAATAAAAAGTTTTTGCTTTAGTTCTACTTTAAGTGCAGTGCTATTCAGCCAGACTTGAACAACGTTTTAAAGGTTCCTAAAGGGATTTACAGTTACACTTCAATGAAGCTGATTAGCAAATTTATGGTTGCTCTGCAAGTTTGTCCATAGGGATCCCTTACTGTTTACTGTTGCCTCCAGCAGTAAAGAAGAACTGTCACCATGTGTGTGTTAGTGACTTTTGTCAGCTAAATGTGACAGTAGGGATGCCAGTGGAAAGATACTGTGTGGATGATGGCATCTCTGCCCGAATCTGAGCCTGCATTACTGACTTACCTTGTAATATAAATGTATGCTCCTCCAAGCAAAACTGAAATGATGACAACAGGGATGAATATTGCTAATGCCATATTTCCTCCTTCTATAGAAGTTTCTGCAGCTGCTTCTGCCACTGTACAAAATACAGAAAACACATGCATAAAGGTTCGGTCTCACATAAAGACGTAGATTTTTTAGCAGAACAAAAACACTTTTTGTTGAAACAAACCTCCAAATACACATTACTAAGTATTACATGCTCACTTGCAGTGTTTTTCTTCCCATAAAATTTTTTTTCTTCACTTGCACTGTTTCATTGCAGCTTCTTGAAAATGTAACTGCTCCAAAAGAGTTATTCACAGTCCTCTCACTCATTGCATTTCACAGCCCTCTCCTCTTCTGGGAGTGTCTAATAACCTTCTGTGCTGGCCCAGCTCCTCTGTTCCTCCTCCCACCTTCCTACTTAACCTTCTATGTAGCAGTTGTGGGAGTTGTGAAGGAGAATACTATAAATGAGTCTTTCCTAATTTTTTTACCACAGGAGAATTCTTGAAATAATTTTCAGTTCTTAGGAAACCCCTGCTAAATATAAGTCATTGGGGGATCAGTGGGAAAAATGCCTCCTCTGGTGGTCGGAATGCCACCCCAGACAGCTAAAAAGATCACTGGGAACTATATAGGCATCAAATGAGAGGTCAATCATTCACAGCTCAAGGAACCCCTGGCAACCTCTGGAGGAACCTTGGAGTTTCACATAACTCTGGTTTAGACTGGCTACTATAGAGGGAGGCTTTTATAGCTAAATAACATGCATACAATATATTCAATGAATGCTTAGAAGTCTATTTATTATCAAGCCATACCCTGCTCCTTTGATTTGGTATTATTCTCCCTTACTCATTGTGGTTTCTCATATGTTACAATAGTCGGACCTTTACTGTTGGCCATTAGGCCTCATGCCTTTATCCTTTATCTTTACTGTAAACGTATTTTGCATATCGTTGTATGCCTTCCACCCTGAAAACCCAATAAAATGTTTGCACAAGAAGTCTATTTATTTAAAAAATGCTTTGCGAATGTCTCAGCAACACAAATGTCAAAAATAACACCTGCAATCAATTGATGCCAACACTCACCTAAATATTTAGGTGTCAATATAACTCCCACATATACTGAGCTATATAAGGCTATTTATCATCCCTTATTTTAACATATCTATACCTGTTGGGGTAGTGTGACACTTATAATCTTTTTCTACTAAGACGTATAATATCATTCAAAACAGCTATTCTCTCTAAGCTACTATATTTATTTGAGACTTTACCAATTCAGATCCCTATGACCCAGCTACATAATTTGCAGAGGGGCGATACTAAATTTATTTGGAACTATAGGGCACATAGAATAGCCAGCACTGCCTTTTATTATCTAAAAACTAAAGGGGGGTTAAGCATGCCTGATCTGCTTAGGTACTACCATGCTGCTCATCTCCAACAGTTAGCAGCCTGGAACTGCCCAATATACCCCAAACTCTTGGACAGAAATTGAACAGGGATATATTTGTATCCTGTACACTTAAACTCTTTAATTTTGTCAGATGTTACTAACTATAGTTTGTCCCCTGTACAGATGCTGCCTTGGGCCCCAGCAAAACTGTTTCAGTTTCAGTTTTGAACACCTTCTTCACTAGGATACTCGTAAATTCAGAACGTTTGAAGATTTGTACTGGAAAAACGGGTTACCGGTTTGTATGTTACATTACTACTTACAAATCAAACACTTTCGTTGTACCAAACATTCTTCCCTAGTCCTAGAGCAACCTACCACTTTTGAAAGTGCCTGTAACCAAGACCCCTCCCAGTTGAAGCTGATTTCCACTATCTATAAGCTTTTACATGAATCTACCCTGGTATTGGTTGGTCCAGCACTCATTTATGAAAAATGAGAATGAACCCTCCAGTGCCCCATTCTCCCTACACACTGGGATAAAATTTTGGAGGCTACCACCAAATCATCTACCCCTGTGTTGCATAAGGAAACAAATTATAAGGTGCTAATGTTCTGGTATAGAAAGATCTGCATGCAATGGAATGAACTATCCCAAGACAGAGTTGGCATTGTGGACAAGGTATGGGATCATTAATTCATATATGTTGGCACTGTCCCTTAATACAACCATTTTTGCCAGCAAGTACTTTTAAGTGCTTAAACAAGTGTTAGACACAACTCTGGCATTGGACCCTATTTTTTGTTTATTAGGTCTGTCTTTCCTAGGAATATCTAAATATGCAAAGAAAATGGTCACTCATATTCTGACAGTAGCTAAGAGACTGATTCCGTTCTACCGAAGATCTACTGTAATTCCTACTTTGAATCAACCTCTTGGCGATATTGCCGGAGTTATGTTGCCTTGAACACCTCAATGCTATATTTAGAGATTGATCAGACCTGTTTGATCGTACTTGGTTATACTGGGAATGCTCTCCCTGTGGTCCTTCAAATACTCTCTCCTCCTTTTCTGATGGCTCATATTTTAGCATTAATTAGATTTCATCAGCCATCCCTTGAGTAGGTGTGTAGCATTTCTTTTTTCAAAATGTCTACTATAGTGTTACCAATGGTACACTTATTGTTCACTCTCAGTATCTATTATATAATACCAGATACAGTGCTCAACATAAATTAGTACACTCCTTTTGAAAAGTAAGATTTTAATCAATATCTCAATATACACAAGAACAATTTTCAACATTTTGACAACTGAGTCAACTGAGTGTTATAGAACAATTGTTTAGCTCATTACATGAAGTAAGGTTAATAATATAACTTAGATTGCAAAATCTTCAATTTTACTCAAATTCGTTGATGCAAAAGTGAATACACCCCACAACAAAAACTACTACATATAGTATTTTGTATGACCTCCATGATTTGTAAGGACAGCATCAAGTCTTCTAGGCATGGAATGAACAAGTTGGCGACACCAATCTTTTTCCATTCTTCAAGAATGACCTCTTTTAGAGCCTGGATACTGGATGGAGAATGATGCTCAACTTGTCTCTTCAGAATTCCCCATAGGTGTTCGATCAGGAGATATACTTGGCCACTGAATCACTTTCACCCTGTTCTTTTTCAGAAATGCAACAGTGACTTCAGATGTGTGTATTGGATCATTGTCATGTATGGAAATTGCATGACGATCAAGGGCAAGAAGTGATGGTAAAATCACTTTCAATATAGGGCAGTACATCTGTGAATTTATGATGCCATCAATGAAAACAGCTCCCTAACCCCAGCAGCATTCATGCAGCCCCACAGAAGGACATTGCCACCACCACTGTAGGCACCGTGCATTTTTCTTTGTACTCCTCAGCTTTGCAACGCCATACAGCTTTGAAGCCATCAGTTCCAAAAATATTCATCTTGGTCTCATCACTCCAGAGTACAGAGTCCCAGTAGTTTTTCCTTTTCAGCATGGGCCCTGGCAAACCCTAGGTGGGATTTTTTGAGCATGGGCTTTAGGAGAGGCTTCCTTCGTGGACACCCATGCTTGCCGTTCCTTTGCAGTGTATGCCATATTGTGTCACAGGAAACAATTACCCCAGTTTGGCTTTCTCCTTCTTTAGCTAACTACAGTGAACTTTCATGGCAACTTTCTTCAACCCTACTCATCAGAAGACACTCCTGTCGAAGCATTAACTTCCATGGATGGCCTGACCGTCTCTGTGAGATGGTTGCAGTTCCATGTTTGTTAAATTTTTGTATCACTTTTTGCTACAGTATTCTGACTGATAAGTAAAGTTTTGCTGATCTTCTTGTAGCCTTCATTTGTCTTGTGTAAATAAATTATTTTCTTTCTCAGGCTGTAAGAAAACTTGTTGAAAGGAGAAGGCTGGCATATGCTCATACTTATGTGCATTCTCATAATTCTTAGCAAATGCTTAATACAAAACAGGCATTGTCACACTTAGCATGTGCAGAAAACAAATGCACATGCTCATGTGCACTCGCATACATATGAGCACAGGCACCAAAGGGCTATGGATGGATTGCTGAATGGTCTTTAGCTAGTTCCTGCTTTACTTGAGCCTTGACCTGCTATACCTGCTTACCTGTGTATTACGGCTTGCCCCTGACTTGTCTTTGGATATCTGCCTACCTACTGTGACCTCAGCTTGTATTCTGACTCTGTTCCTGACTCCGCTTATGCCTGATGTTCTTGTACCTTGCTGCCCAGCTGTTGATGACCTTTTAGATTGTGTCCTGGCTACACTCTTGTCTGCCAAGTAAGTGTCACCGTGTTCCAGTTCCTGGTTCCTGCCTGGTGAGCTGCAGTCATCTGCTTCCTGTAAACCCCAGCTGGTACTATCTGCTACACCGGCCCTCATGCCACTCTGTGTCCCCACACTCCCAGTCGCCACTATCAGGAGTGTTGGAGAAGAGGTGCAAGAGAAGCTCCCTTTCCAGCTCGATCTCCACCAGGGATGTGACACAGGCCTTGTCACATTTCTCTTCCATGTGGTGCCATTACTGACAGCGTGAAATGGGAAGGGGTTTTCTTTGTTAAGTAACGCCTTTTTATAATCAACTGTCTGCTGGACACATGTTTAATGAATAATTAGCCTCACCTGTAGTTGAATTCTTGTTAAGATTTTGTTGTCTAAAATTTATCTTTGCTCTTAAGACTTTCATTGGGGTGTATTCATTTTTGCAACATGGTCTTGAATGAATTTGTTAGGGAAAATATTTTTTGTGTGTGCAAATTAACAAATGTTGTTTCCTATCAATGGCCAGCATTTGTGGGAGTATTTTGTAGTATAATGTCCCATAGAAAATGTTGATTCTGAAAGTAAAGTAAAGGTTTTCTGACAGATCTGTTGGGTGTACTCATTTATGCTGAGCACTGTATATGTACTTCATCTGTCAGCCTTCGTCTGCTAAAACTGCTGAGCTCTATGCTATTGTCTCATACTACTGGTGACTTGACTCATGCTTGCGCATTTGATAACTACTGTACAATGCAGGTTATTCTCAAGAGTCTGTCACAACCTTTCAAGTGTTTTTTTTTTTCATTTTATTTTAACACGACAAACTCATGTATCCTCTCTCTGATTAAACCATTGTAATACCGCTGGCTATGTCATATGTACCTTGTTTTTTTTCTTTTCTTTTTTAAAATGCAATAAAAATACAATTACAAAAAAAAACCACCTGTAATGTTTGTAATATGTGTAGAATGTCAATTTCTACTTGCTGCTTGTTGCCTTTCATGGGGTAAATGTAATATTCTCTAACATTCAATCCCAAGAGAAAATGAACATTCGACCAGAAGTGGTAAGGCACATTCAATCAATACAGAAAATAGACTAACACAATAGACAAAGAACATTCAACCAGAAAAGATGTATGTAAGGGGTGTATTTATAAAAAAAGAATGGTAGTGCTAATTGTTATATGAAACTGCATGTACATATGTTTTTTTTTGCAAATGGGTGCAAAAACAAATGTTATTAGACTATTTTTATTTCAGGTTGAATGTTTTTCATTTATATTAGCAATAGAGTGAATCAGGAAAATACTGCATTATGACTACTAGAAGGAGCTGATGATCATACTAAACAGGTATTTAGGTATAATGAAGCAGCTGCTGCAGAGACTGAACTACTATACAGAAAATTGATACTATGTTGCAGAAACTCATTTTTTGACAAGTTTACCTGACTGAAACTCAACAGATCACCTATGGTAAACAACTGCAAAATTGTATCCATTCTGTATAGCAGTTTCCTCTCTGTAGTAGCAGTTTCCTCAACCGTTTTACCCCCAAGGAACCCTTGAAATAATTTACAGGTTTAGGGGAATGCCTGCTAAAGCCAATTTATTGGGAGCCAGTGGGCCCCTTACATTGGTGGACAGTTATAAGAACGCCCCCTTACTGTGGTGGTCAGAATGCCACCCTTACAGACAGCTAAAAAGATCATTGGTATCAGGCAGCTGGCTCTTCATGTGCTGTGGTCCCTAGAAATATGCAGGCACCATCAAACTGGAGGACAATCAGCCACGGCTCAAGGAACCCCAAGCAACCTCTGGAGGAACACTGGCTGAGAATGGTTGCAGTACAGTCAGTGATGACCAAAGGAATCTTCATACACCAAGCAGAGGTTTTCCATTCTTCTGGTCGAATGTTCTTAGCCTATAGTGTTAGGTTATTTCCTCCATTGGTTGAATGCTATTTACCTCTTCTAGTCAAATGTTCTTAATGCTATTTGTTCTTAGGAACAAATTTTAGAAAATGTTACACTCACCCTGCGAAAGGCAACATATAGAAGCTGACATTTTAAACATATTACACACATTACAGGGCTTAATAGTGACTTTGATGTGAACACTGAGACATTCGCAATTTAATGTTTTTAATAAATAGACAATATAATCTTAAGTGAAGATTTATGTTGAAATAAATGGTCTGCTGACAGTGTCTCATTTAAGAAAAGAGAAATAAATATTTAGACTTTGTGACTGCCTACTGCACAGCCATATTGTGACAAGCAGCTTGTCACCTGACTCGTCTCTGACCTTTGCTGTGACAACTTGTTGGCAAGATTTTGTCATTTAGTATTGAAGAGAACAAAACAGGTGTTTTGTTGTCATTGTTCTTCATGATGACATGATGGAACTTCAGCAAATGTTGTTTTCTAATGGTTTTAGATATTCTTGAATTATCTTGTATTTTTTTCTAGTAAATATAGCTGTGATATTTTTGACTGTTTTTTTGGCCATTGTTTACAGGTGTATTGTAGGGAAAGATTGAAAATCGTTTGTTGGTTTATTTTGCTATTTGTGTTCTGAATTTGACATTCACACTCTCTGTTTTGTTTGAGTCAACATTGCTATTGAGACTGAAAGAGAGAGAAAGTCCCAAATTTTGAGTTATAAACACAACAGGAGTAGGCTGGAAGTCTTCCAATGGGGACACTTGTTGATGTGACAAAAATGTAACAGGAGATTTTCCCTAGCTTTGAGAGATTTCCTCTCATTTTCAGTCAACAGTGAAGGGAAATCCTTCCCTACTCTATACAAAACATGGCTTTGCATATACTTAACATCACTATTTAAAAGACATTAAAGTACAACTAAAAGCAAAACATTTTTTTCCAGTTTTGGAGAGTGGAGAGGGATTAGAACACCTGTCGTGTTTATTGCTGTCTGTGTCCCCATTTGGGAGATTCACCCTCTATGTATGTCCAGTTTACCATTATCACTCAAAGTGAAAGTAAAAGAAAATCACACATTTTGGGTTGTTCCCAGAAACGTAATAGAGGGGAATCTTACAATGGGGACACTGGGGCTCCCCAAGGGATTCCCTTAATTTGCAGGGATTCCTCTCACTTCCTGTTTTGGCAGGAAGTGAAAAGAAATCTCCCCAATGGGATACAGATGGCAAAAAATATACTGACATGGATTATAACCCTCCCTTACGCTATCCAAAATGAAAAATAAAGTTTGCCTATAGTTCTACTTTAAGAGATTTGTAAATATATAATGGCTAATACTTCAGCCAAAATTTGGATAAGAATTGGAAACCTACATTGCTTTGGACCAATTAATTATACTGCAAAATAAATCCTACCAGGGTTCTCCCTGATACCTGTCTCTATACCCTTCAACACTGGGGACAGAGGGGTGGGTCTATGCTGGGCTCCTTTTGTGCACATTCCGCAGCCTGGTAAATGATGTAACATTATATATATATATATATATATATATATATATATAAAAGATATGTAATTATACCTAATATAGTGTTATAGTAAACAAGGAACCCCAGAGGCCACCTTCCAAGACTTCTACCAGGTCCTTTCCTAATGTGGATAGCAAATAGCTGATTTTGCAATTTTGTACTTTAATTTGCACAATGAATTCACAAGAATTATGATAAATCAGAAAACCACATTTTTAGGGAATCAAGTCTGATGTCTTTAATGAATTGGGAACAACAAAGACACATGTAAAAGATCCGAAAATCCACTTGACAATTTAGTGGAGAAGTCATTATGGCAGCTCGACCCCATAATGTCATAGATGATAACTCTTAAAGACTTCAGCTCAAAGATATTACTAACGGGGCATAAAACAAAAAAAAGGTAGTCATACATGGCAGACATTGCAGCACCATTGGGACACATTTTTTTTTTTTTACCAACATCTCACAGTACATTGGCAAAAGTAATTGCACTGGGGTCCATAAATAATTTTGTCTGTTTTTGAAATCATTGAGGTATTATTCTCTTCTA